CACGAAACTCTTTTGGTACGCTCGCATTTAGGATCTCTAATTGATTATCAGACTCTCGAGAGCGGAACAATGGATCGAGGCGCGGTGGATGTCCACTGGCGGCCGACACGCCGCCGATTTATATTTATCGGCCCCGAGTGGAAGCAAACGTAAGCGGCCTCCGTATTGTTCGCGGATACGTTCGAAAAGAGGGGGAGGGGGATAGTCGGAGCGAGAGCAGCACGAAAGGTGCGTTTCTCAGACGCTACTCGTTTATGGCGGCTAATTACCGTAATTGGCCCGGCCGTTATAACGACGACGTTTAAGGATACTCGCGCCGTTAGCATACAAAAGTACAATAATTCGAAGGGGGCGCACCGAGCGATTTCTCTTAAGGCAAGTCGCAGCTTCCATAATGGCGCACGCCAGCCCGCGTTTGCTCCGAGAGTGGCGCTCCTACTCTTTTTGCCATCCTTTCAGAGAAAGAAAGAGAGAGAGAGAGAGAGAGAGAGATCGTTGGGCGAGGAAGTGCAGCTATGCTGTTTCAACGAACAGACAACGAGCGAGCCGAGGGGCAACACCGTGTGTAAATTGGAACGTACGTCGGATTATAGCTGCCGATCCGCAGGAATTTTAATTTCCTCGCCACCCTGGAACTCTACGCTCCCTCCCTCCCTCCCCCCATCCGCCTCTCCGTCCGTTCATCGGCTCTCTTCTCTTGATTTTCGGAGCTTCTTTTTTCTCTTCGGCATCAGGTGTGGATGGCTGAACTCTCGGGCATCCTGGGCAGAGCCAGAGGATTTCTGGAAGTTAGAGGCAAATACATCATACGTGCTTTCGTTGCGCGAAAGAGGATGAACGAGGAACGTTTAGAAGCCAACGCACTTGTTACTTGAAGATAGTGATCTCTCGCGAAAGTTAAAGAGGCTTACGAACATCGTGACTCGCTGTAGAATTTTAACAGCAGCAGGTTGAAATGAAATTTTGTAATTGTCGCAGAAACTTTATAGATATTCGTAAAGTACACAGATATATATATATATATATATATATATATATATATATATATA